GTCAGCATCGCCTAACCAATGCCATTCCCAACTTCCACACAAGCTCGCGTCGTGGAAAAATCCGGACGGGAGTTTGTTTTGTTGCATTTTGGGGGGACCTCTAGGGGCCCTTGCTGGGCTTCAGGATCATCAAAGAACGACTCAGGATGAAAAATTGGTCCTGGGGAATGGGTCGAGGCCCGTTGGGGTCGACATTATGAACAAACGCTTCCTGGCCGGTCCTGGCCATGAAGCAGTGGATATGTATGGATCTCGTCGCCCTGGATTCGATTCCCCACTGGGCCATGGCCTCTCAGCCGCGCCAGCACACCCCCGGGGGATAGGCCCCGCGAGGCCCGAGGGGAACACCATAGAGCTGGCGGCGCAGAGGGGGATGTAGCGCGACGGTAAGGGGACAAAAAAGTGGAACCCCTTCGTCGTCGGCTCCGCATTCGCCCCCCCCCCCCCCCTCCCTCCAATTTCAAAGTTGGGTTCGGCCTCTCGGAGGCCCTGGGGGTTCCACTCTTTTTGTCTTCTCACGCCTGTGCTGCCAAATGCTTGAGGCCAAAATTGGGGGGACGGGGGGGGGTCAAGGGTTCTACTTTTTTGTCCATCTACGGGAGGAGGGTGGGTCCCTAAGAAGACGGCAAGGCTTCCAAGAATCAGGGGAGAAGGCAGCACCCCGACCCCCGCAGCCGGCGTCCACTGAGCAGCATTGCGAGCCCTTCTGTTGACAGTCCCAGGGTGTCCCCGGGCTCGGCCAGGCCCCTCCGAGGCCGAAATGAACGACAAATTTTCGCTTCGAGTGTCTCGAGTCGTTGGAGGGTCTGGGTATGTACATGTTTGTATGTATATATGTATATCTGTGTACATGTGTATATACGGATTATCTATATATATATATATATATATATGTTCCTTAGCTTGCGGGATAATCCATCTAAGTTCGGCGGGAGCGCCGTGGTTCGCACAGTCATCAGGTGTATTGTAACTCTGCTGATTCTGTGTCCGTAGTCCGACTTGTTTTTGCTCAAGCTGTTTTCTTGTCAGTCTATGGGCCTCCCAAGTTCTTTCCATGTGGCCGTCGCCACGCTATGTTGGTTCATGTGGGGATCAGAAACACCGACTCGTCTGCGCGCCATGCAGCACGTTCAAGTGGATGTGGAGGATAACGACACTGGTGTTGGTGGCCGCTCGTGTGACAATCTTCCGCGCCTCTCAGGAAACGGATCGGTCAGGCAGACGTACATCGAGGGCCACACACACGGCCGTCTCCCATCCGAGCTCCTCTCGCGGATCAACCTCTTCTGCGCCCCGCGGAATGCCGGCTGTACCTCATTGGCCGTCGGTGCTTGGTGCTGCGAGGACGCATGTCGGAGGATCGGCTCCGCTGATGGGGCGGCCCGTGATGCCTCCGCCAAGTCCGAGGCTAGCTCCTCCTACGGGGCCCCCATTGCAGTTGCGCCTGGACGGCTGGCCGCAGCCGACAAGTGCGGTGTGGGGCAGTTGGCGCCGCCTGGTGATCGAGGTTGGGGGGGAGGCATTCGTACACGAACGTTTGGTGATCAGGGCCGATCCGAACGACCGCTCGGCCTGGACTGCGACGCCTGATCAGGATGGGCATGAGGAGGACTACCGTCATGATCCCGACATCGTCGGGTTCACCTTCCTGGATGATGCATGCGGCGACATGAAGATCTCGGGCGCGGTGGTGATCGCACCTACGGACCCGATCGTGAGCGTGGAGGCGGTGTCAGCCTGCACACTGCTGTCGGAGATCCCCGTGGCTGTCTTCTTGGAGTGGGCGTCGATGCCGAAGTTTCCCAGCTTCAGGGATGACAGGTTCGATCTCTACGCGTCGGAGGTGAGATACCGTCGCATTATGAAGTCTCGTTTCGAACATGGCGCCTGCAGTCGTACCTTCAATGCTGGTGTGTTGAGGTTGTTCGAGGAGCCTGAGGTCGATGGCCACACGAAGGGTCCCCGCATACCGCTTGGCACCGCACAGACTCCGAGGTCTCAAGGGCCGATCTGTCAGACACAGGCTCGAGAGTGCCCCGTGGCGACTCGCATTCGACCTGAGAAGAGGTCGGTGCACGAGTACAGGCTGGTCCGCGAGGTTCTGAAGGCGTGGCAGCACATCGATCGGTGTAACCTGCCGAACACAATAGGGGCCGATCTGCTGGTGGGGCGCAGGAGCCTGCTGGAGGAAGCGCGCGCCTCGTTCCCCAGCAACTCGGGCTACAGCGCAACCAACATCATGATGGGCTGGGCCGTGGCACTCTTGAGCGTCACCGCTAGCAGGCTGAAGGACAAGGCGGCGGTCTTGAAGGGAGAAAGGAAGGCATTCGACGAGTCCAAACTCGGGGGAAAAGGTCAGCCCCCGAAGGACAAGGACAAGGGCGTCAAGGACTAGGGGGTCGAGATCGACCCCTTCGGCACCCTCGCAGGTGCCCTCGCCGAGCGTCGTCTGCTGACGATGTTCGACAACCGCTCGGCTCCTCGCGAGCTGCTACCTCTCCCTATACCCCCTTCATGGTCTTCGCCATCCTGGCCGAGGCATCGCTGCAGGAGGCTGCAGCAGCGCTTCGACCGCAAGAAGGCAGTTTTGAGCCGCGCCGTCGACTCCGTCAAGGCGCTGAATTGGGTGCATGGTGGGCGCCAGCCTCCAAGTTTTTCGAGTCCTACCCTGTCGCAGGCTACGGCTCTTCAACACCTTCTGGATGTTCATCGGACGGACGCCCCGGAGATCGTTAATGCCGAGGCAGCCCGTGTGGAGTTGCTCGGCTCAGGACGGGACTACGCTGGTGGTCCCGAGCTTCCCATCGCGAGTTACGACAAGGATCTGCTCTCCATGCCCCAGCTCGGGGCGGAACCCGTCGACCTGTCCACGGTACTGGAGGGTAGGGCCAGAGAATGTCTCGTTACCTTTGAAGAGGAGATCTTGCACGGTCCCGATGATCGGGGTCATATTACTGAGTGTGAGGAGCATGTCAAGCCGCACATGGATCCAGTGCTTAAGACCGACGCCGACGCTTACTTCGACTTCGTGATGAGGGGTCACAAGTCTGGTTTGTTTCGCTTCGGCCGCACGACCCACGTCATCGTCACACCTTTCTTTGTGAGGAAGAAGGCCGGCACTTTGAGATTGATCCTTGACTGCCGCCCAAGTAATCGCAGGATGCGTGAGAGCCCCTACGTTCGGCTTGGAGGGCCGGCTGATGTGGCGCGGCTCCTGCACTCGCGTGGTGACGGGGACCCGTGCGTGGCCCTCGGCGACGTGAAGGATTACTTTCATTGCTGCGGGCTTCCACCAGGCCTTAGTCCATATTTTTCCCTGCCGCCCGTGTCAGGTCTGCGACTTCTTCAGGCTGGTATTCACAATGTAGAGGGTGTTCCCGTTCTTCCAGGCGATAGAATCTTTCATCAGTCCAGGGTCGTTCCCATGGGGTGGTCTTGGGCTTGCTACTTTGCGCAGTCGGCTACAAAGTCCCTGGTGCATCGTTTCTCGGGCTCCGAGGGTGACAGCTTCCTGGAATCCTGTAAGCCGCCTCCTGGTCTCGATCGGCCCGCTTACAACGTCTACATAGACAACATTAGCATCTTTGGCCAAGGTAAGTCACAGACCGATAGGATCGCCAACCAGGTTTTCGACGGAGTCGAGAGTGTCGGCTTTCGGGTTCACGAACGCGCGTCTGCCAGCAAGTGGGCTCATACGCTCGGCCTAGAGATCGACTTCTTGCATAGCACGGTCCAAGGAAAAAGGCAGAAGAGGTGGAAGTTGAAGGCTGTCCTGGATTGGTCGGCTGGTGCTCCGTATGTGTCGGGTCAGGAGATTGAGAGACTTCTGGGCCATACCACCTTCCACTTCGGACCTAATCGGCTGTTCGTGTCCATCTTTAACAACGCCTATGACTTCATTCGTTCGTGCTACACTTCTCGAGTGCGTCTCTGGCCCTCGGTGGCAAGGGAGTGCTGGGCCGCTGGGTGTCTTATCTCGTTCGCGTTCGCAGACCTGGGAAGGGACTTCGACCCGTTCGCGAGCTGTTTCGACGCTAGCATGCGTGGGGCAGGGGTCGTCACGGCGCCTTGGGACTCGGCACAGGTTCGTTCTGAATGCGAGTGGGAGGAGAGGTGGCGGTTCAAGTGGGATGTGTACGATCGGGTTGCGCCCAGGGACAACAATTTCTTATCGCTGGACTGGGGGGACATCGAAAGCGCCAAGCCTTGTCGTGACAGGTCGTCGCTCTGGTCCCTGGACAATTCGTTCAGAGAGGTCCCGAAGGAGAACCTTGTGGGCCCCACCTGGACCAAGGTCGTTCGGAGTTTTTGGAAGGACGAGGAGCCGATATTCTGTCTTGAGGCCCGTGCGGGCCTGCTGGCGGTGCGTCATAAGTTACGGGCAGTCTCAAGTTTCGGTAAGACTCATCTGCACCTCGGGGACCCCATGACCGCTATCCTGGCTTTCGAGAAGGGGAGGGCCAAACATCGAGGTCTTCTGGGTGCCTGTCGTCGTCTTTTGGCTCTGAGCGTGGCTTCCAACACCAGACACCACTTCAGGTGGGTGCCTTCAGAGCTGAACCCGGGTGACCCTGATTCACGCTACTTTGAGCTTCCAATTGACAGCGACGGCCGACGCTTGCTTCGCCGCTCCACGTCTCGTGCCTGGACGGTGCAGGCAGACGGCAAGGGGAGCTGGCGGGTCGTCGATCCTGGCGGTGGTGCTCTCGCCGCCGGCGGACCCTCTGGACACGGTGGTGGCCGAGAAGACACGTCGGCCAGCTCGACACCTGGTGCTCAGGAGGGACTACTGTCGGCGGCCCGACAGGTTTGGGGAGTTCGGGCGAAGCCGAGGTCTCTCCTTGGCCAACCCGAAAGTCTGCGGCGACGCGCTGTGCGACTTTGCCGACCTGCTGTTCCTGGACGGCGAGCAGATCGACGCGGGGACCAAGTTCCGGGCCGCGCTGGAGGACCACGACGTGCTGCGGTTCGGCAAGACCAGCCTTCCTCGGTTTCGGCGG